ATGCACTTGTACACCGAGAGAAGTGTGTGGTGAGAGACAGGATCATCCCTAGAGGAGTGTGGTAGGTGGTAATTCCTAGAGGTATGTTGTAATTCCTAACACTTGAGGGAGATACGGGCTAGAGACCAACACTTAGAGGGTGTAAAGTATGATTGCAAGAGTTTGAGATTGTAAAGTTTTTGGTGAACTAGAAAATCGATTGTGAGGTGTAAATGTTGTTTGGGTGAGCGTAGAAAACCCGGTTGTGACAGTGGAGATCTCCTCGAGATAAGGAGCAGAGACATAGGTCATGGGGACCGAATTCCATGATCATATCTTGTGTTTGAGTTTGGCTTGACGCACTTATATTTTTGTTCATCTTTATTGCCATTATCTCATTGTTTATTTCATCCATTATATTGTTTATATTTTTTTTTACCCTTGTGATATTTGTATATCCTTGCATATATATCCTGTTGCATATCATATTTGTTAGGATATTTGTTAATTAGTTTTAATTGATATTTAAATCGGATTAGATTAGCATAAACCCTATTCACCCCCCTCTAGGGTTCTTTCCTAGTGGCATTAGGGTGCTTTCAAGTATCTCATCAGTCGACCGATGAACCATCATTAATCGACCGATAGATCATCACCAGTTGAGCAATAGCTCATTTTAGTTTTCCAGTTTGTCCAACGGTCAATTGACCAGTCGATCGATTTTTTTCAACAATCGACTGATCACGCCGCCAATAGTGATGACTAGTTTTTCAGACTTCCTGATTTTTAAGGGATCTGTTAATTTTGGGGATTTTCTTTGGATTTGGGTTGTCGTCTTGAGAAACTATAAATACCCATCAGCTCTCATTTATTATTCTAACCAAATATTCAAGAAAACTAAGAAATAGAGAAGATATGATGAGAATCACCTATCCTCAGCCATGATACGGGTGTATTCTCAAGACGACAAACCAAATATTCTCAAGGCCTTAAATTTAGTATCCTTCGCCAAAAAAACAGGATGGATGTCGAGTCCAACCCACCAACAGCAAGAATGGACCTACTAAATTCTTCGCCATCTACATCTAGAATAATAAATAGAGGTAGGGTTGCATTTTAAATAGAGAAAATTTAAGCGGCAGTACAAGGAAGAAGAAGGTAGCACACACCAACAGGGGGCAAAAGAAGCGACCAGAGGAGTTTCCTTCTCTTTGTTATGTCTTGTCCTGAACTGATCTTGTCTTACCTTACCTTACTTTGGGGCTACACTTTGTGGGACTTGCTGTGTACTGATAAATGATATAAATTGAATAAATAAAATTCACTTGCGGAGCAACTACAATTCGGAAAGTAGAAGGCAGAAAATTCTTTATGCTCACAAAGATATAGCCTTTCCAAATTTAAAATAAAACTATATAGACTTTAGATGCAGCATATGAACGTAATCATGTAATTCAGCAGCAAAGTTCAGTAGTGTTCTAAATATGCAAAAACTGGATAGAGTTGAGCGTATCAGGCGTAGAAAAAGTTTCATGCATGCAAAGATACTAAATTGCCTTCTAAATTGCGCGCAACATACTAAATTTATCTACTTCACCAACAAAGTTCAGTTATGTTCTAAATATACAACCTCAAGGCTGTTTCTTCTTTCTATCGTTTAAAATCAAATGCAGAAAATGCCTTCTAAATCACTTTCTCCGCAACTAAAATACGAGTAAATTTAGCACATAGCCATAGAAAATTTCCATGCATGCAAAGATGGAATCCTTTCCTATTTTTGAAATTTGTTAGAGCAACCTAACACTACAACTAGAACATACATGCAACATACCAAATTTATTTGCTTCAGCTACAAAGTTCACTACATTGCCCATAAAAGTAAGTACAGAAAATACCTCGTCAATCGCTTTCTCAGTTGCTAAAATATGGAAATTTAGCCATCAGCCATAGAGGAATTCCCACACTTAGAAAGATAAAAACTTTTCCAATTTAAAGGAAAAACAAAATGAAATTGGCAGAGAATAGGACAGGAAAAGGAACAAAGAACAAACTAAAACAACTTGACCTTACATGCAACATATCAAATTTAACGCTTAATTCAAATTTAACGCTTAATTCAAAAGTTGGCTATATTTTAATTGTGAGAGAAGAAGAAACTGACTCTAGATTTTAACTGTTGAATGTCTTTGTTAAAAAAAAATCCATGGTAAAAAAGACTTTAAAGATAACTGCTGAACATGTAAGTTCATTTTTTTGTTAATAGATGGAAGTCGGTAAGCATTAGTGCTAATCTGCGTAAACTCTGGCCAGAGTTAAATAAATTATATCATTTTCTTAACATTGAGTTTGAAACTGTGAGAAAGGTTCAAATTTAGGTCAGTATATGAAGAGACTAAAACAATAAATTAAATATTTCTACCCTTGCAATTTGAGAAACAAAACAATGATATTAATAGAAAATTAAATTCTTACCCTTGCATTTTTAGAATGCCAAATCTTTAGTAAAGCTCTAAATTGACCATTGAGATCAGTCTCGGGGCGCTTTTTCCATCTTTCTCCATCATTTTTCAAACTAGTAAAGCATTGACGTTTCAACAAGCACTTCCACCGCCTCCATGCACTATTAATTGTTTGCAAGGTCCATTTTTGTCCTGAATCGGCAATTGAATACTTCTCCTACAATGACATAACAACATACAAGTTAAAATCTACCTTGTCATTACACAAAATGATTTTTTTGTGCTATATCATACCTTCATATATTCCCACAAACTATCTTTGTCTTCTTCCCCAATGTCATGCCAATTCTTATCTAGTGGTGTTCGTCTTGGATTTCTTCCAAGGGTACCCAGAAAACTACTAAGTTCATTTAAGATATTGTCTGTCGGTCCAATAGTTACCCCAAATTTGTCTAAAATTACAACTGGACGTGCCTCTATGCCTCGTCCATGTACTTTTAAACACTTAGTTGGCCCTCTATGATTTTTGGGCTGTTGTACATCTCTTTGTTCATCTTCCCTTATCTCTTCATCTTCGTCTTCGTCGACCTCTCTCTGTTCATCTTCTCTTATCTCCTCATTTACATTGACCACTCTCTCTTCAACTTCCCTTATCACCTCATGGTCAGACTCTATAAAATCTTCCTCATAATCTCCCTTTTCTAATTCAATATTCTCTAACTCTTTCTCTTTCTCCATCAATTTGTTCTTATCAAGTTTCTGAGGATCTTTCTGTGCCTTTCCTGATCGAGTCTTCACTTGCATATTATTCTTTCCAAGATGTTTTGTCCTTTGCATTTGCTCCTCTTGGACCTTATGTCCCTGTAATGATTCAGTCTTTGTCAATTGCACATCTACACTCTGAACTTGCTTTCACAACTTGCTTGTAACGTGTTGTTGGCTATGACACTGTGATTTTTGCTTCATTTTCATCCTTGGTACATTGCTTCCATCAAGCTGTTGGCTGCAGGCTTTGGATTGATTCATCCTTGCAAGTTTTGTCACATGTAGAGGAGGATAAAAGGTCTTTTTTACGCTTCTTTGCAAGAGGTTTGATCATGACCTACAAAATAAGAAATTCTTGCTTAGGCTGCAGACTTTTCTTCTTCTACCTCGTTTTCTCGGTTGATTCTCAATCAAGAGTTTGTGCTCTCTGTATTAATAAGAAACAAACATAATATGTTATATAGTGTAATTTAAAGAACACCAAAAATAATATATATAAAGATTTAATAAATAAAGTATACCTAATATACTCCCCAACTTCCCTATTACCGCAATTGAATAAAGCATATCTATGTGCATTAACCCAATCTACATCATCCAAAGCAAATGCTTTACCTTTCCTTTTCCTCTTTCCGCCCACTGGATGACCTATCTTTGGAAAAATAGGTGATGACTCATCATCATCAATGACTTCATCATACTTTCTTGTATATCTATTAAATCTTGTCTTCACACCATCATGTAGATATAACGAGCAAAAAGTCAGCGACTCTTCAGGCAAATACCCCTCCGCTATGGAACCTTCAGGAGCACTTCTATTGCGAACATATGACTTTAATCTACAAAGATATCTCTCTACCGGATACATCCAACAATAGTTAACTGGCCCACAATCCAAAATTTGTTGAACTAAATGAATCGGCAAATGCACCATAATATCAAAAAAGCTAGGTAAAAATATTTTCTCCAGTTGACAAAGTATCTCCACAATTTCTGACTGCAATTTATAAAGATCATTTAAATTAAGAACTTTGCTATATAAGCCCTTCAAGAAAGCCCCTAATCTAATTAATGAAATAGAAACACGTCTAGGCATAGTCCTTCTCAAAGCAACTGAAAGCAAATACTGCATGAGAAAATGAGCATCGTGTGTCTTATACCCTGATATTTTTTTCTCATTAACATTGACACACCTCTAGATATTTGATGCACAACCATGCAGCATTTTAGCATTTTTTAACACACCACAAAATATCTTTTTCTCCTCCATCGTCATTGAAAAGCATGCTTTAGCGAATGTAAAATGCCGACCATCAGCTAACTTGGTTAGGTGTAGATATCTTCTTATGCCCATATGCTACAAATCAAAACGAGCTCTGACATGATCCTTCGTCTTTTCAGGAATGTCTAATAATGTCCCAATTATATTATCACACACATTCTTCTCTATGTGCATTAAATCCAACAAGTGCCGACATGTATTCTGCTCCCAATAAGGCAAATCAAAAAATATTGACCTTTTTTTTCATGGACAACTCTTTTCTAATTTTTTCTTCTGTTTCTTCCCAAAGTCATTAACAAAACCATGCAATTCCTCCATAATCTCTATCCCAGATAATGATTCAGGTTTTTTTCCTAACTTAACATGGCCATTAAAGTTTCTTCTATTTAACCGCCATGGATGATTATCACTCAAAAATCGACGATGACCCATGTAACACATTTTCCTACTGTATTTTAAATATTGTGAACAAGTGTCATAGTTGCGCAAGGACAAGCCAACTTCCCTTTAGTACTCTATCCGGACAACATTGCAAATGCTGGAAAGTCGCTTATAGTCCAAAGTAAAGCTGCACGAACATAAAATGATTGTTTACTTGAAGCATCATAAGTAAGCAACCCGACTTCCCATAGCTCTTTCAAGTCATCAATCAACGGTTGCAAGTAAACATCGATATTATTCCCAGGCGACTGAGGCCCTGGAATAAGCAAAGACAACATGAAATATTCTGGCTTTAGAGACATCCAGGGTGGTAAATTATAATTTATCAAGATCACCGGCCATGTGCTATGCGAAATGCTCATAGTCCGAAATGGATTAAACCCGTCACTAGCCAAGCCCAGCCTCACATTACGAGGGTCTAGTGCAAAATCAGGATGATTGGAATCAAAATCCTTCCATGCTTTGCCATCTGCTGGGTGCCTTAGTTTCCCATCCTGGAGGCGCTCTTTTGCATGCCAACTCATGGATTCAGCAGTCTGAGAACATATGAATAGTCTTTGAACTCTAGGTTTTAAAGGAAAATATCTTAAAACCTTGGCTGGAACACCCTGCTTATTTGCCTTCCATCTACTTTCACCACATTTACTGCAAGCAACTTTTTCTCCATCTTTTCCATGGTAAAGCATGCAGTCATTAGGACAAGCATGTATCTTCTTGTAATCAAGGCCCAAATCCTTCACAATTCTTTTAGCCTCATAATAAGACTTTGGTAGATTTATTTCAGGAATTGCCTCTCTCCATATGGCTAGATAATCATCAAATGCCTCGTTGCTTAGGCCATGGATGCACTTGTGAAGATACAACCGGATGATAAAAGAGAGTTTAGAAAAGTTTTACATCCTGGAAACAACTGCTGCTTATCTTCATCAACTAACTTATAAAATTTCTTGGCCTCCTTAGTTAACCTTTCTTCATGGTCACTTAGGTCATCTTCTTGGTTCACTGGAGACTCTTCTACTACATCTCTAAATACATCATGCAATAACCCATCCAGGTTGTCTTGAGCATCATCAGCAACATCATCAACTTCTTCATTATTGTCATCAACATCCATCCTTGATGACACACCCTCTTCGTGAAAGAACCAATCATAATAATTCTCTATAAATCCTTTGACAATAAGGTGATCATAAACAACATCACGACTATACCAAAAACGATTACAGCAAATGCGACAAGGGCAACATATTTCATCCCCTACTGCTTCATTAGCAAATGCTCTCTCAAGAAAGTCATTGACATTATTAATGAACTCCACACTCACTCTAGGAGCATTATACATCCAATCTCTATTTTCCACCATTTATTATATATTCTGGAGAAAGAAAAAAATGATTAACACTATTAATAACTACATATAAATATTGTGATTTATAAAATAAAAAATCAATCCTCTTGTTACCATTAATAGCAATATATTCAATCAACATTCGTGCGGTTGTCATGCCATGATTTGTATTTGTAAGCGGATCATATGCTAGTTTAATATAAAAATGATTATAAATGAAAGTAGGTTACCCCATAATTAACTTGGACTGTAAATGGACTAAAAAGATATACAAATCCTATCTAACTGGGGGAAAAAGGTCACATGCAATATGTACAAGGAACAAAAGATGAATGCTATGCACTTGAAATTGGCAAGTCATTATAAGGAAATAATAGTATAAAAACTGCTATGTAACTGAATAAAAGATGGACTGTAACTGAACAAAAAAATGCTATGTAACTGAACAAAAGATGAGCATCACATATATAAGAAGGTTACTAAGAAAATCATACATCCCATATAACTGAACAAATTGATGAAATTTCTTAATCCTGAACAAATTTCTTAATCCTGGAAACGATCACAAGTTACAGACAGGAGGGTTACTAAGAAAATCATACATCCCATATATAGGATAAGTTTTGAATCGGACTATACACTAGCATAACCGTAAACTTCTATCAAATTTTCATAAAAACTCAAAGTAATCACGTGCAAAATACCTGACTAACTCCCTTCAAACGCAAGACTAGGACATTTAAGAGAATGCAGCCATCAGTTGCAAAATTGATGAAATTTATGGGCTTGATTGCTGAAAACACACTCTAGAAAGCTCCCGTTAGCGAGATCTGAGCTCGATTTCTGGAGAAAACCCTAGAAAACAAGGAAGGAGAAATTACCTGAAATGAGGGTAGCTCGACGACGAGAATGACAACAAGCTCGACAACGATGAGATCGGAGAGGATATTGGAGATGAGATCGGAGAGGAAAACGGCGACGAGTTCAGTGATGAGATTGGAGATCGATGAGATCGGAGAGGAAACGGCCACGACGATTTTAGGGCTCTTTTTTTACGGCGATTTTTGGGATCGGAGATGATATTCTTCGTTTAAGCGGTGGGGACAATGGGCTTTACAAACTTAAAGCTCCTGAACAAAGCCCACGAACAATTATTAAGTCTAGGAATAATTATTAGGTCTATGGCAACGTTTTTCATTAAATGTTGTATTAGACACTGAAAACTGTTACGATAGATCTCTAACGCAACAGTTAAAACCGTTGCGCCTTAACTGTTACAGTAGATCAATTATGTGGTAGTGGCTGGTTTCTTTCAGGTACTCATCATGGACAAAGTTGCCTTGAGAATCATGTCAAGTTCGTGCAAGATATCTGACGTTACAGACGAAGGAGTTTCATGTAAGTTGATAAGTGCAACTTATTGGATACCTGCGTTTCTCTCTCTTTCATCTTCTAGCAAATAGCAGTTTGTTTTTATACGAGGCTAGTTAATTCCTGTTAATTTCTATGTTGGGAACTGCAGTCTGGTCAGGTTTTAGAAACAAATTTGTGCTTGCTTCGGCATGGCCTATGCTTTAATAATTTCTCTATGTTGTATGCTCATGCTACATATATAGTTTTGTTTCCTGTTAATTTCTATGTTGGGGAATGGCAGTTTTCTGGTCATGTTTTAGAAACAAATTTGTGCTTGCTTCGGCATGGCCTATGCTTTAATAAGTTCTCTATGTTGTATGCTCATGCTACATAGTTTTTCCCCCTTACTCTAGCTTCGAGTTTTAAGAGTATGGAAAATTTACTTCATCGACCAGTATTCTTTCTAGACAGAACTCTACTTTTACCCCTAACCATATTAGAGTAGTGCTTGTTGGGAAAATAAGCTGTTTAGACAATAACGAAAATTAGTTTAAGCAATTTAATAATTAACAGATAATCACTATTATAACACAGATATAAGAAATATATCAAATGAAAAAGAAACAGAGTTAGAAATACGACCTGATGGTCGAGGCGTGCAAGCACTGTCCCAAGAAACTAATTGCCCCCTCTCGTACAGGGCTACGCGGCAAAAGTCCCCGGAGATACAACGACCATCGGTCAGGCGACCTCCTTCTCGTCGGCACGAGCTTCAAGAAGGCTTTGTGAATTCTTCGTGACTTTGAGGGAACCAACAAAAATATAACAGTAATATGAAGAGGAATGACAGAGAAGAAGAGAGAATACGTTGTGTAAAATATAACAGTAATATGAAGAGGAATGACAGAGAAGAAGAGAGAATACGTTGTGTTTTTCACACTGTGTTTAACCTCTCGCTGCGAGGTTCTTATATAGGATTTCAATGAGTCATTTGCGCCCATAATTCCCGCAATAGAGTAATTAGCACGTTCTTATATAGGATTTCAATGAGTCATTTGCGCCCATAATTCCCGCAATAGAGTAATTAGCACGTTTTTTTTATTCACATAAACTTCGCCAGTTAATACCAGCGGTTTTCCTATCATTTAGATCCGTCAATCTCTCTCTCTCTCTCTCTCTCTCTCATTTAAAACGTTTTTATTAACCACGTTTTTAATTTGTTTCATGATAAACACGCTTTAATACTATCCGTTTAGATCCTTAATTTCCGCCTATAATTATGCTAGCCGTTTAACAAATTTTGAAAATGTTAATCACGTTTTTTTAATGTAAAAAGAAAAGTTCAAAAGAGAAAATTAAAATGTAGCAGATTAAAGGCCCCTCAATCCGGAGCTGCATTCGTGTCCGCAGGTCGTGTGCGCGCGCCACCCGACCCGAGCCCGGCCCGGCCGGCGCGCGCGTGTGTGGTGTGGAGCATAACCTTTGTTTTCTTCTAGGCATAGGAGAGAAAGGGAAGGCTTATAAAGAGCCCACCTTCCCATCTCTTTTCCAATGTGGGACTAAAGTTTTCCTCTTTTCCTCTACAAGCCCAAGTTTTAAGTTATCTTTATTATATAACTCCAACAGTGCTAACTAGACTACACTTTTGAAGCTACTCGGACTCCTACACTACTACACCCATGCCATGATGACTCATCGATCTTAATAGCAATTCAAGTAGAAATATACCCTTACACACTTGTGTCTAGTAGTGTAGGAATTGTTCGGAAAGTAAAATTATCCATCATATTAATGGTTCTTATATGTTGATGAACTTTTTTTGCATTTTCTCTTCAGTTTCGAATTTATAACCTCTTTTGCATTGTTTTTTAGATCATACTTTTGACAATTTTTGCATTTTGCTGTTAGTGTGAATTTATGATGTTAGTGTGAATTTATGACCTCTTTTGCATTCCTTTTTTTTTTTTTTTTTTTCTGCATTTCTCATTGGTTCTATTTGCTTTGTAGCGACCTCTACAAACAAAGGCAGCCGATGCCCGCGATGGATGCAATATATTTTATGCAGCCTCTTAAGGAAAAGTATGTTTAATTGGATTAGAGTTAATTGGATTAGACTGTTGTTTTTGTGTGCTATGTACCTGCATGCGTTGATGCATGTCTGTTTGTGTGCTTGTGTGTATGTTCATGCATGTGTCATCTTGTTGCATAGGCAGTTGGCCTTAAGCATATGTTCGGTATCTTGAATTCGTTTTTTAACTTTTCGTCATTGAGCTTTCCCAGGCAATGCTTGTATCAGATGCACATATATGGAACTACTTACAATGTACACATTCTCGAGTCAAAATATTAAATGATCGGATACATTTCCCTCAAAACTTCTGGTACTGCACTTAATTGTAGCTCAGCCTATTTAGAAAAACTTCTTTGTCAATGACCATTTTTTGTTAAAGTTGTATTTTGGCCTTAACCTTGCTGTCCTTTTCACATCAATGAGCCTTTTGAAATTAAAGAACGATGCCCTTTGCATCATTGGTTTCGCCAAGATCTTAGGCTCTGAGTACTTCCGACATTAAATCTACTTGCAAACTTGGTTTTGTACCATATTTTCTCAGTTATGTGCATTATTTTTCAACCATGGTTTATCTGGCTGGATTTCCTTTTGATCCTTGTGTAAACCATCATCATTTACACCATTTGTGTTTGTTGGGGAATTTCACGCTTCCCGTCTACTATAATATGCGCAACTTCGAAGTCAACCCACAATCAACAAGATATAAAACGACCACAATCAAGAAAAAAAAGAACATCGGGATTTACGTAGTTTGGTCGTTCAAGTTTGACCTACGTCCACGGGGCAACAATATGAGAAATTCACAATGTATCAGGAAAAACTACAAGATGAACCACTCAACTCTCGTCTCTCAATATCTAAACCTTACATACATAATCAACTCTCATATTCTCTCCAAAACTCACTCCTTGTAATCTTTTGCACGGATAAAGATCACGAAATCCTAGCCTCTCACACAATATTATTGAATCAAGCTACGCCATTTGCTAACCCTAGATTACAAGAATATTGGCTCTCTCTCTACTACATCTCCTCTCTACTCTCTTCTTCTTTTTGTTTTTCTTCCAACAATAGAAGAATATATATAGGGAACCAAAACCATATCTCTAGCCTAACTTCCTAATTAAAATAGGATTCAAACTCCTAATCATGATAAAACTCAAACTCCTAATTATGATAGAGCCCAAACTTCTAATCATGATAGATCTCTAACCCTATCTAATTCTCATAAAGTTATATAAAGAATCAAAGGCACAATCTCAACAATCTCCACCTTAGATTTGATTCCCAAACTCCCATAAAGATATATCATCATTGTCGTGATATTTTGCCTCTTCCGCTAGAGTCTTCTATTCCTTTCGCACTTCAAATCGAAACATTTGCACTCCAACTGGATGCCCCTATGTTTCACACTTTCATTTGTCTTGTTGTGGCGTCTCCACCTCTCTTGTGTACACCAAGAGATCTTTGCCACCTCTAACATCAGAAGTAAATCAATCATGCTTGTCCTCCCAACTTGAGCTTGAAATAGCCTCCCCCGTTTGTTGTCCTTGTGCTCCACCTACATCGCTCGTATCAAACTGTATCGGTA